CTGGGAACAGGCTGGGGGCTGTGTCCCGCAGGGCTCCAAAGCCCTGCCCATGGCTGCCCACTGGCAGCCCAGGCCTTGAGATGGCTGTGAACCTCTCCCCATCCCCAACTCTGTGACCTAATGGCAGCGGCCATCTGCGAAGGATGCAGTCTGTGGGACGTGTACCCCGCTGTCTGGGCAGCCTGAGGAGCCTGAAGGCCGGCTGGGTCCTGGGCGCCTGGCTCCCTCCGTGATGTCAGCTGTGCGGGTCCGAGGGCCTGGCCCTGAGGAAGCCGCCGCCTGAGTTCTGCCACCTCTCAGCAGGACCTGGACCTCAGAGGATGAAAGTTGTGCCTTGGGACCTCTCCCTTTCTTGTCAGAACAGAAAATAACATTGATTTGGTGGAGGTTTACAGGAACATCGTTACCTGACCTTGATCTGACTTCAAGAACAAAAGATCTGAAACCAAGAAGTGAGCAAACAGCTAACCACGCCCTGCCTTCCCTTCCCTGGGAAAGGATTTTGCTGAAAGCTTTTGGGGAGTCTGAGGCTTTTAAGGCATGAGCCACCCATCTCCTTGTAGGGCCCCGCAATAAACCTTTTTGTTACAGAGCCCAAGCTCATTCTGCCCGCCGCCTGACAGGCCAGTAAATCGGGAGATGAGTTGTTGGAACAAGGAATAATGACTTTAATCGGGAAGCTAGCAGATGAGAAGGTGGCAGACGCGAGTATCTCGAAAACCATCTTCCCTCCGTCCAAATGAGGGCTCTCTTGATCCATGTAAGCGGCGGGGAGGAGCCACTGTGGTGCTGACCAGTGGCTGGGCCGGGCGGCTGACAGCTGCTCACTGAGGGTCCCTTGCTTGGGCGAGGGGCCCACTATGGCGCCTCCAGTGGCTGAGCAGGCAGCTCCAGCTCCTGCCTGCCTCGCTGCTGTTTCACCCTGAGAAGAAAGGTGTGACTCCTGAGCGAAGCCAGGTCTGAAGAAGCACCAGGCTGCTCTAGCAGCGTCATCCTCGGGTACTTGGTGGAGCTAGGCGTGAAGACTTTGACCTTGGTGGTCAAGCAGAGGTGGTTGACATGACCACTACTGGGTTCCCTGTTTGAGGTGGCAGGTGGCATGGGCTCAGCCTGCTACTGGCTTCAGTGGTCAGCTCGTGACCGACGAGGTGGCCGGAAGCTGGTGTCCCCAAAGCAGAGCTTCTGCCTGCCTGCCTGTGCAGCATGTGGGTGGCCGACACAGGCTGGTCTGGTGGGCTGGGCACAGAGAGGCGTGGTGATGGAGTGATCCCTGCACCAGGGAGGGGGGGGGGGAAGGGCCCACCGTGCCTCGGGTGTGGTCTGGGGAGGCCACTGTTAACACTTCTCTGCTCCACACTCCAGCGTTTTGGTATTTGGCTTCACTGTGTGTGATACACAGACACTTGGATTTGATGACAGTATCATCCTACAGGTCTCTGAGACTATTCCTCTTATTTCTCCATCCTCCCTTTTGATATCTATGCTTAATTTTGATTAAATTTTTATTGCCGTGTGTGTGTAAATTCTCTCTCATTTTCCCCCTTCTTTTGCAGTGTCTAACCTGCTTTGAATCCCATTTTAAATGATATTTTCATTTCAGCTACTGTATATTCTTAATTTCCAGAAGTTCCATTTGGTTCTTTGAACTAGCTTCCTTTTCTTTCATTATACCTGTGAGTTCCTTTAATTCTTAAACATGGATATAGCAGGTTTCATGTTAGTATCTGAGAGTTCCACTGTCTCTGTCATTTCTTAGTGGCTCATTTCTTAGTGGGTCACTATTTTTTGATGGTTTTCCCTCCTGATTATGGGCCACATTTCTCTGCTTCTCAACTGTTTAGGAAATTTTGATTAGATGTTATGTATTGTGACCACTACATTATTGAGGATCCACGGTTTGTTGTGTTTATTTAAAGAATGTTTGGCAAGGCAGTAAAATCACTTGCAAATCTCCTATCCTTAAGGCCTGTTCTTAAGCTCTGAGAGGACAATTTGGTGTAATAGTTCAGCCCCCTACTAAGGCCTGCTCTCTCTGGGGTCTCTACTGAATGCATTTGGTGAGTCGCTGAAAACACCCCAACTCTAGTGCTCGAAAATCTTCCTCTTTGTGTAAACTTTGCAAGTTGTTCAAATTGCAGTTTCCTGGTTATTTTGTGCCCTCCCTTAGGGAATTTCACTCACATGTGTGTGACCCAGAACTTAGGACATTTCTGGAGCTCTCTTTCTATGGGGCTTCCCCTTTTTCAGTACTCCACCCTGCAACTTCCAGCCACCTCAGCCTCCCTGAAGTCTGATCTTCCTTTTCTCCACTTCCCAAGACTGCCAGGTTCATTTTGGGTTCCTCTTCCCTGTAAGGGCTGGCCTGGAAATTTTCTCCAGGCACGAAGTTGCAGTGATTGGAAGAACGCACCTTGTTTGTTTCCCTTGTCTGAGGCGTCACAGTTCTGTGCTGCCTTCTGTCTTCTGAAAGTGGCTGTTTTATGTGTTCTGTGTGGCTTCTGGGAAGAGGTCAGGTCTTTGCTAACCTACCCTCGTGGCAGGTGGAAACCCCAGAGATTCAGTGATACTGACCTGTGAAAATAATTCTCAGTAACTGAACGCAGTTCCACACAGCATGCCCACCTGTGTTGGAAAGAGAGCGAAAGGCAAATTATGTGTGTTTTTGTGTGAAGCACAGCTGTGGTCATGCCCCTCGTTACTTGCCTTCCCCACCACCTGGGGCTGTCACTGATCTCCGAGGAGTGGTGAGCGCAGCTCCATGGCGGCCAAGTGGTGCTGGCGGCCCGGGTGCTCCTGGGGCTCCGAGGACAGAGCCTGCTTCCACTCTCGGTGCTCAGTGGGCGGCCTCCTGCTGTGGGCCAGCCTTTACTCTTGGATCCAGGCTTCCCTGGGGGCTCCCATGGTCAAGCGTCTGTCTGCAGTGTGGGAGACCCAGGTTCGGAAGATCCCCTGGAGAAGGAGATGGCGACCCACTCCAGTCCTCTGGCCTGGAAAATCCCATGGACAGAGGAGCCTAGTAGGCTACAGCCCGTGGGGTCTGTGCTAATAGACCACTGAACATCTGAACCAGTAAGACATTGATGCATGGATTGAAGGAGCCATCTGTGAAACGGCACAGCTTGCCAGATGATCCGAAGTGTAAAGGCATGTGGAGGGAAGCTGATCTGCACAGGATTCTGCATTTGTGAGGATGTGATTCCTCCTTTGTTGTTGTTTCGTTGATTAGTCGCTAAGTTGAGTCCAACTCATTTAGACCCCAAGGACTGTAGCCCACCAGGCTCCTCTGTCCATGGGATTTCCCAAGCAAGAATATTGGAGTAGGTTGCCGTTTCCTTCTCTAGGGGATCTTCCCAACCCAGGGATTGAACTCACATCTCCTGCTTGGCAGGTGGATTCTTTACCACTGAGCTACCTGAGAAGCCCGGTTCCTCCCTTACTGTTGAATATAAGGAGCCCTGTGATTTGAAGTGGATTGTCGGTGAGCCATAAGGAACATTAGGGTCTTGGGTAGACGCAAGACTTGGCTGCCTATAGTTCAGCTGAGAAGCAACTAGATCAGGAAAAACAAATTATTTCTATCTGTTTTTGGTCAACACTTACTTTAGACTTACTGGTAGAGGTCTAAGCCCTTTTTCAGCGATCATGAATATTGCCAGCTATGGACGTTAATTTTCTTTTCTGTTTGATTGTCTGTTTTCGGTGACTCCTCGCCCTTCACACACACACACACACGCACACACACACACACACACACACACACACACACCCGCTGACCCGCGCGCGCTGCCGACACCCTCGGCACGCTGTACATGCGCAGTGATGGCTTCGATTCTGTTCTCCTCAAAGTGCTCAGAGATGGTTTTCTTTTTATAGATCTATTTTTCAAAATGCAACTCGAGAAGTACTGACGGGATCTACTGCTGTCTAAGGAATTCCCTTGTAGCTCAGTCAGTAAAGAATCTGCCTGCAATGCAGGAGACCCAGGTTTGATTCCTGGGTTGGGAAGATCCCCTGGAGAAGGGAATGACAACCCAGTCCAGTATTCTTGCCTGGAGAATCCCATAGACAGAGGAGCCTGGTGGCTATAGTCCATGGGGTTGCAGGAGTCAGACATGGCTTAGAGATTAAACCACCACTGCTGCTATCTAGAAAATTTAGAAGTTAATGAATTTATGAAAAAAATGCTTAATTTCACTAAAATGCAACACTGAAGAAGAGGTTGTTTTGGGGGGGAGAAGGCTATCAAATTTTGGTTGAAATTTTAAAATGTTAGTATTTTCAGTGTTGGCAAGAATGTGGCAAGAAACTCTGAATTTTCAGGAAAAGTTTGTATTTATATGAGCTTTCTGAAGATAAGTTGGGTAGTATACATCAAAAGCTTTTATATTCTGACTCAGTAATATTGCTTGTAGGAATTATTTTTCTTAAAGTTATTAGATGTGCAAACAAAAATGCAGGTAGAAGGGTGTCTGTTGCAGTATTATTTCTAAGCATAAGATATTAGAATATCCCTGACTCTCTTAACAATGCAAATGTTTTTTATTTTTATCATTTTCCAATTGCAAAGTACCATGGAACCATTATGAAGAGTATTTTATCATGTGGTAAAATGTACATTTGAAATAAGCAATTTTCTAAAATGGAATATAGTCTTACATTAACTGTTAAAAAGTACATGAAAGAATGGCCAGAAATATACCAGGTTGTTAAAGTAACTGTTCCTACGTGATAGTTTCATGAGAAGTTGCTTTCTTGTATGATTTTTCTGTTTTCTGAAATTGGAGTGGAAAGCATTCCTGATACGTGAAAGTAAACAGGGTGTTTGTAGCTGCATTCTTGACTCACCTAAGGCTTTTCTAGACCCTGGATGGGCATCTCAGATTCCAGAAGAGAAGCCAAACCATTAATCTCTAATTAAAACTAGTTGCTGTTTTCAGGTGAGATGAAAAAGTTCTTAAAAATTAAAAAAAAAAGAAAAAATTTCTGTGCTTACTCTTCAGATAAAAATTTTGATGATGAAGATTCTGTGGATGGCAATAGACCGTCTTCCGCCAGCTCCACTTCGTCCAAAGCTCCAGCAAGCTCGCGGAGAAACGTTGGAATGGGGACCGCCCGGAGGCTCGGCTCCTCGTCTCTCGGATCCAAGTCTTCAGGTAGGACCAGGCGCGCGCGCAGAGCTGCGTGGTCCGCGGTGCGGCGCTTAAAGCAGGTGCGCTTGCTGCTCGCCCTGTGCGTCCTTTCGGGGCGCAGCGCTTCTGTGGCCAGCGTGAGTCCACTTTCTCCTCGTTAAGTAAATCGGTTCTCATCTGTGGATGCGGACAAGCCGGTAGAACGTCCGTCTGAGCTGCTGTGTGGCCGTGTTTGCTGAGGCAGAGTCTTTGGGTGTGTGAATCCACCGAGGGGCAGAGCTTATGGCCTTGGGCGCCTGCCATGCCTGATGATGCTTGCGTGGTATCAGCCAGCTTCTGTGTCTCAGGACTGAGATTGTCTAGAAGTTAGATTGTCTTTAAAATGTATTTTGTTCCTGGAAGTAAGATTGTTGCTTGTGAGACCTTGTGAGATACCAAATTAGTGAATGGTCAAGATTAGCTCCCTGAGGCTTTGAAAACAAATTTATAAGGATAAATCTCTTTATCCTCCTCTGCCACCCCCTGATTTAGACGGTTCTGGGTCTTGTTATATATAGCCTTCATTTTGCGGTCACATTTAAGTTTATACACAAATTTTTATACTTTAAAAATTTTTTCATTGAAGTATCATTGATTTACAGTGTAGTGAAAACTACTAACTTTTTACTTTGGAACCATGCTTACTGTTAGCATTGGGCTTTTGAGCTTGGCCGGATAAACTGATCAGTTAAAGCTAGAGTGAGGACCAGCATCAGAATGCTGCCTCCTTGCGCTGGTCTCCTTTCTGTCTGAACAGGCCGTGGATGTTGGTGTCCCAGCTTGTCAGCTTGGTGCCCACAACCTCTGCTCTGCCGTCTCTGTGTGGCGGGGGCTGCTGCTCTTAGTTCATCCTGATCTTTTATATTTTTTTTCAGTGTATTTTTTTCAAATTTATTTTAACTGGAGGATAATTTATAATTATTTTAACTGGAGGATAATAATAATTTATTATTAACCGGAGGATAACTACTTTATAATGTTGTGTTGACTTCTACCATAGAAGAATGTGAATCCGTCATAACTATACCTATATCCCTTCCCTCTGAGCCTCCCCCACCCCACCCCTTGCCATCCCACGCCTCTCGGTCATCTTTTATTTTTTGGTTCATTTAAAAAAAAAAAAAAAAAATATATATATATATATATATATATATATTTTATTGTTGTTAAAGCGCTTAAATTCACACAACATAAAATCAGCCATTTTAAAGATAACAATTCACTAGCACTTATTATATTCATAGTGTTGGGCAACCACCACCTCTGTCTAGTTTCAACCCAGTTTCAACCTTCAAAAAAAGACCCCATTAAAGTTCTCCCCATTCCTTCTTTCCCCAGCTCTGTCGGTCCCTCCAGGCTGTTCTTTCTCTGTGCTTTCAGCTATTCTAGGAATTTCAGAGAAATGGAGCCATCCAATATGTTGTCTCTTGTGTCTGGCTCCTTTCACTTGGCATAATGTTTTTGGAGTTCATCTCTGCTGGAGCGTGTATCAGTACTTTTCTTTTAAATGGCTGAACTATCTTTCTAATCCATTTTCTTGATCTGTTTTTGAGTAGCATGTACTCTACAAACTAAGCTTAGAAAGTTTCTGCGTGATCAGACCATGTCTTTTTGTTCCCATTCCTCACCTGTTCTCCTTCCAAAGATCTGGCCTGTGTAGATTGATTGTACAGAGATACAGCCCTGTCTCTCCCTCGGGCCTGACCCCGTCTTTTTTCCATTTTGTTTAACTTCATAGTTGTGAGTTTCCCTGCTGACTTCTCATCAGACTCCTGGGGGCCCAGGCCTGCGTATGGCCCCAAGCCCTCTGTGACATGCGGCGCCCCCTTCACACAGAAAGGTGCTGGGTGCTCGTCAGCCTGGTGGGATGCAGGCCTCACCTAGGGCAGGCAGCACCACTCACAGCGTGTCACTATTTTCTGTCTGTAATTGACTTGTGAATGCAGAGAAATACTCATCATGCATGAGGACACGTCGTATTTACCATGAGCACCAGTTGTCTTTAAAGCCCTTTCTGTCTAGGTGGTCACTCACAACCCCAGATGCCAACTAAGTTGTCAGGTAGGAAGCTCTGGAAAAGCACTCAGACTAATCAATATAAATCATTAATGACGGTTATAGGGATGACTGTAGATGACCATTCAGAAACCTTGAATATGAAGAAAAAACATGTGGTAAAATAGCACTTGATTTTCATATGTGAAGGACATATTAACAGAAAGAAAAAGCTTTCTCCTGAACGATAGCAGTTGTGGGGTCAATTTGCAACTGGCATATAAACGAAAAATTGACAAGTTATTGTGGTTTTAATGAAATGAAATTTTTTTTTCTTTGAAGTGAAAATATTTTGAGACTAACAGGTTGAGGTGAAACTGTAAGATTCTTTAGAACTTATTTGAATGTTTCACAGATTTGTTATGTAGGATTCCTGACAGTGATATAATTTCACTTATTCCCTGAAGAACTGAAATTTCTATTACATGTTCATTAGGAATCTTTGAAAAGACTTGTATATTAATACAGGGCTTCCCAGGTGGTGCTAGTGGCAATGAACCTGCCTGCCACTGCAGGAGAAACAGGAGATGTGGATCTGACCCCTGGAGGAGGGCATGGTGACCCACGCCAGTGTTCAGGCCTGGAGAGTCCCACAGACAGGGGAGTCTGGTGGGCTGCGGTCTATAGGGTCGCAAAGAGACTGAATGGCTGAAGCGACTGGGATGCACACACATAGATTAATACAATATAAATCACCTAAATCTTTTAGAGTCTATACCACTGGCCCTCCTTAAGCGGGTACTATCTTTAGATGACTTTAAGCTAATATATGTTATACTGTAAAACTGTTATACTTTATCTTAATATTGAAAGTCAGTAATGCTTGTCAGTGCCACAAAACTCTAAACTTTTACTGACTTTAAAAAGTTGTAAATCTTCCAAAAGATAATTTTGATTTTGTTTATGAGTCCTCCAGTGCGCACTGTTTGCATTTTTAAAATTGATGTTTTTTTATAGCTGCAAAAGAAGGAGCTGGTGCTGTTGATGAAGAGGATTTTATTAAAGCATTTGATGATGTGCCTGTAGTCCAGGTGAGTGAAGCTGTTTGGTTTGATTAAAAAGGATGGGCTTATTCTTCAGATTTCATTTTCAAGCATGTGATACGCAGAGTTTTTTACTAGCTAGGATAATTCTGACTATCAAGACCTCAGGAGGTCTTAAGGTTGAAGACTAGGAAATATTAGGGCTTCTGAGAGCTGAAATGAAGAGTGAAAGTCACGGCCCGGGATGACCTTCCAGTTAGAACTGGTGAGAAGTGGCTTGCTCCAGTAGTGAGTTGGTGAGTCAGGTCACACAAAAGAGGTGAAAATAAGTGACTCCATTCCAAGAGAGAACAAAGAAGCATGCTTATGTCGGTATTTTCCTTAGAGAAGTCTGTAAATTTGAAGAATGTAGGTGTCTGAAAGGTATAAAAACTGTTTTCATAAAACCTTAGTTTATACCATCGTGATACTTCCCGTGAGTACCTGACCCGTGAAGCAGAGATGACTTACGGAACCGGGGGCCCGGCCACTCACTGTAAACTGCGGTGTGCCTCGGCATCGTCTCCTGCTGATCGGCTTGCGGCCCATCGGATGTCATGCTCAGGATTCCTCCCGCACTTGATGCCCGTCTGTGTCCCTTGTTGCTGCCTGGTTGCCATGTGTGTACAGAGCAGACAGCAGGTGTTTTAGGCTCAGGTTTATCCTTATGTCCTTGACCTTCCTACCATGCCTCACTCTTGGTGGATTTTTTCCTCCCCTTGCTGTCTTTGGGGTAAGATACAAGGATAAATGAGAAAATAGGTTTGAAAGTGTTTAGGGTTACAAGCATAGACACGCCTTGCCGTATTGCGCTTCACTGTGTTGTGCTTTGTAAGTGCTGCCGTTTCACAATGGTCTGTGGCCACCTGGCCTCGAGCATGTGTATGGGGTCCCGTCCCCATCAGCGTTTGCTCACCTCGTGTCTCTGTCATCTTTTGGTAATTCTCACAACAGTTCAGCTCTCCATCAGCAAAAAAAATCACAGTTCTCGGAAGACTCAGATGATGGTTCGCATTGTTTTTTTTAAGCAATAAATGATTTTTAAATTAAAGTATGCACATGGCCTTTTTAGACCATACTTTAGTGGGCATACTTTAGTTGGGCAGTTAATAGACGGCAGTCTGGGGAAATCTTTGTGACTCGCTTCACTGATACTCACTTGATTGCACCGGCAGTGCAGTGAGGACGCTAAAACTGACCTGGCGGTGTCTCTGGGGTCTGCCAGTATGGTGCGGTGTTACAAAAAACAGATCAGCGGCTTGGGCCTCTCTGCCCACTCCCCGCTGGGCTTCTTTCTTGGTTGTTCATGAAATTGTCTGTTATGGTAAAGCGGCATTTGAGGCGAGTCGTCCATATTCGGGCATCAGAGCTGGTGAGTTTACATTCACGGTGGAAACTCATTGGCAACCCTGCCTAGATGTTATCTCAGAGGCCCTTTTCTGAAAAATGAAATGATCTCTTGTACTATACTTACCAGATGCTGTTGACTTCAGGTAATTAAGAAATAATCTTTGTTTATTCTGTAAATTTTCTCATATTGATTGTAAATTAATTTTGCTTACAGATTTATTCCAGCCGAGACCTTGAGGAGTCCATAAACAAGATTAGGGAAATACTGTCTGATGACAAGCATGACTGGGAGCAAAGAGTAAATGCCGTAAGCTGCCAGCTTCGTGTGGTTTTGTGTGATTTTGTGTGTGACTTTGTGTGATTTGCGTTTGCAGTAGATATTTAAATATTGTAAATACTTTATTATGAAATTGGGGTACAGCTGTAATGAAGTTTAAGTAGCCAGTACTTTAAATATAAGGTACCATATTCACATTTTGCCTTTTTAGTAGATGACCTCACTTCTGTTCTTAAAACATGCCTACTTCTATCTTTTTGTGCATCTTGTACTTTGGCATGGCCACTACCCTCACCTTCATAAAGGTTTAATTTTGCGATCCTTGGCCGGGGAAGTAGCTTCTCAGTGGCGTACACTGAGCGTCCCTGTCGCCCTTTCTTTCTTCATAGCACTTCTGTCCCTTCTGTTTTTAAAAGTACCTTAATGGCAGCCAGTTGTCCGAACATTAAAGTGAGCAGCATTTGGTGAAGGTGTGTCTTTTCTGGGGAAGGTGACTGTGTACTGGTTGGCCAGCAGGAAGCAGGTTGGGAACGTGGCTGCTGTCTGTTTTAGATGCCCTCCAGCCCGTCAGTAACAGGTGCAGTGTGGATACTGTGACCTCCAGTGGGGACGCTTCTTCCTGTGAAAGTGAAAGGCGCTCAGTCGTGTCTGACTCTTTGCAACCCCATGGACGATACAGTCCATGGAATTCTCCAGGCCAGAATACTGGAGTGGGCTGTTCCCTTCTCCAGGGGATCCCAGTTCCCTGTTCCCAACCCAGGGCTCAAACCCAGGTCTCCTGCTTTGTAGGCGGATTCTTTACCAGCTGAGCCACTTTCCTGTGATTCACTCAGTAAATGGTGGTTGGATGGGGTGTTGGGAAAGGGGAGCTTAGGGAAGGAGCTTTTTTACAGGCTACAATGAGGTTTTAGTTATTTTTATCCTTAGTATCAGAGTGTCTGTAAATACGCTAAAATGTTCCAATTAAAAAATACATTTTGTAGAATTATAATGCATTTATCACAGATGCTAATTTTTAAAAATTATTTTTTCTTACTTATGATACCTAGATTTCTTCAGTATGTTAGCTACTGTTTAGTTGGTCTAATTCTTCTTGGAAAACTGTATCATTTAACTTTATTGTTGATCCTTGAATATTTGTTGGCTTCCATTATTTTGTATTTTTGTTCTAAAGATTGTTTTGTCTGTCTCTTAATATTTCTACCCCATTAGCTAAAAAAGATTAGATCTTTACTCTTGGCTGGTGCTGCCGAGTATGATAACTTCTTCCAGCACTTACGGCTTTTGGACGGAGCCTTTAAACTGTCGGCTAAGGATCTACGGTCTCAGGTCGTGCGGGAGGCTTGTATCACGCTGGGGTAAGGACTGCGACGCTCCCGGTTCTCACATAATAAAGTGTATGTGTCACAGAGCTTCAGAGAGGGGTCACTGAATAATACATCCACCGGGGCTTTCCACATGCCTGTCGCCTGGTCTCCAAGGCTGATTCCATTTACACTCTCTGTTACACTTTGACAGTGTTTCCTGGCCAGTTATGTTAACACGTCATTGACAGAGGGGATTTTTGCAGAAAATTAACACCTGTGGCATCAGTACATCTCTGGTCAATAATGTGTTGTGTGACAGATTTTAAATTTTACTCAGTTACTTAACTCTGAAACCTCTGTTTTAAACTTGAAACAGTTATTAATAATATGGAAAAATGAAATCTTATAAACTTCTGTTCTCAGCCTTTTCATTGATTTTGCTGGCAGGATATAGCATGATAAATAGAAGCTTTGTTTGTTCTGGTTAAATTCAATAGAAGCGTGGCTTTGCAGCTGTTCAAAATTTTGACCTCAGATATTGAAGCCTGAATGTTATATGCTGAAAATAAAAGAGCAAAAGAAAAAAAAGAGGCTGAGGATGCTTTGTCATATTTATGTTTTATTAGTATTTGTTGTTTTGCTATTTGAAGAGTAATTAGTGGTAAATTATTTATTTTTTAAAAAGCAGTTCTTCTGGGTGAGTGGCTATGTAAAGTCCTCTGCATGTGCTTGGGGAGTATTTGTATTTCACTTAGACTTGTTTTTGTCCTTAGATGACTTTATACAAAGGCTCTAAAATGTGAAAAGCTTTATATATTACACTGTTTCCAAGAACTTTGGTGACAGCCCGGTGCTCATTTCTCGTTACAGGCACCTGTCGTCAGTACTGGGGAATAAGTTTGACCATGGCGCTGAAGCCATCATGCCAACGATCTTTAATTTAATCCCAAATAGTGCCAAAATCATGGCCACCTCGGGGGTTGTAGCTGTCAGGTTAATCATTCGGGTGAGTGTGTTTTGGAGCCGTATGTGTTGTGGAGTAAGCAAGTGGTAAACATGGGTGGTGGATAAGCAGTTACCAGAGGCGTTTCTCACTTGAGTGATTGTGTCTGTGGATCACACTGTCTGCACAGTACTGCCCACCCCCCACCCCCCCACCATCCCTTGCTTCACTGTCACCTGTGAGCCTTTTCAGTTCCCTGGAGTGAATTTCAGGTGTGGTGTACAGTTACTGGCCTGTTGCTCATCCTCTCATCATTGGTTTCAAGCATTTGAGCACTTATCCCTGCTTCTGAGTTCTGTGTGTGTCCAGGTATTACTCCTGTTCATCCCTCCTTAATAATCCCCAGCTGTTCGTTTTAGGTATTTCTGCTTGTGGCTTTGTATTCATCTAGCATCTTTATTTAAATAATTGTACATAAGCCTAAAAACAAAGGTTATCTTCAGTTAAGTTTTCAAAGCGCTAATTTATCTAGTGTGAATAATTAGCCAAGTAATTTATATGCAGATTTTCAATAAAACCTAACAACTCACAAAGGCTTAAAGTGCAAGTTCTTCATATCACCTTCTCCACATGTCAAGTCCCTTTTCCCTAGAGGCAGCCCTCAAAACTGGGGCTTGATGATGCTAACTAAAATCTTTCCAGAATATTTGTGATTATTGTGGGTTACTTTCTTGGCATTATTTTAGTTCTTACTGTTTACAGTACCTATTTCAGATATTAAACCAAAAGCCGTTATTGGACATATCCATCGAAACGGTATTAAAATACATTGGTCTACTGACTGCTTTTTACTCACTTAGATCTCTACTGCTCAGATAGTTTAGGCTTCATACCAGTGATTAGTTTTGATTTTAGACTGACCTAACACACATCATCATGTTGTCTGTTTTGGCTCTGTAAACTTTGTCATGCCCTTTGTAAGTGTCCAGTGAAATTCTTTCTCCTTTTTAAACTCAGTAAGATTCTCGTCTGGATGGGTTAGGTGCTGTACATAGGAGAGAAGGAACTGACCGTCTCAGTTCTGAATTTTCAGTTGTTCGCCTCTGTCTTTTGCTCTTTCCCACAGCACACGCACATCCCAAGGCTAATCCCCGTCATAACAAGCAACTGCACCTCCAAGTCTGTTGCAGTTAGAAGGTAAACTTTTAATGAATTTTCTCATTATTTTTGAACTGTTTTAAAACCAAAACAAATTTTAAATTTCCCTCCAGCTAAAAAGTTTATGTTTGAAATAGTTAATATTATTTAATATTGCTATAATAAGTGCCCTTGGATTGAAGGGTCATGATCAAAATTATATGGACAGTGAATGTGGACCACTGATGTTATTTGTGTGTGTGGTGTTTAGGAGAGGTGGGATGGGGGTGTGTCCCCACATTCTTCCTGCTCTGGTCCCTCTGCCTCTGTCATTGGTCTACCCTGTGCCCTGATGAAGGCAGTAGCTGCCTGCCTGGAAAAGACATTGTAAAAACGAGTGGTAGTTACTTACATTAGCATAGGAGGAGGAGGTGTATGTTGTCTGCAGCTTCTGATGTGGTTCTGGGGGTTCTGCTGTGCTGTGCAGTGAGGGGAGGTGGACCCCGAAGGTCAGCCTGAGCAGCCAGCAGGGCTTCGTCTCAGGTCCACTTGAGCTGTCCCAGCCTGTGTGTGATGTCAGGACTCTGCTTCTGGCTGGGGTCTGTGGGGTCTGGACTGGTGACTCCACAGTCTTTCAGATTGTGAAATGTGTGGGCTGTCTTCCCAGGAAAGTGTAAGTACACAGAAGTTTTACGTGAGTTTTCAGACAGTTCATGGACTGAAGCTTGTTGGTGGACCAGATCAGGGGCGTTATGGGGTAAATTAATGGCAGACCTAGGCAGCAGCCTTCTGGCCCCATCCCTGCAGTTCTGGGCTGTGATCCAGCCCAGCAGGAGGGCCCGTCACTTCATGGCTGCCCCTGCTTCTCTCCTTTCCTGGGCTGGCACATTGGACCCCCCCCGCCCCCCAGGGTTTCTCAGGTGCAGGGGTCTTTCTGAGCATGAAGCAGCCCCCATCATCATCTTATTAACAGCCATGTGCAAGGCAAGAGAAAAGAGAAGGGGAATGAGCTGGCTGTGTAAGTCAGGAAGAAAGACGTGTTCTTCCACTGAAGAGGCTTAATTTCCAAAAGTGTGGCTCAGTGGCATGGCTGAGGAGTGTGGTCAACCACTGACCCACAATCCAGCCACCCTAGAGGGCAGAGCAGCTCCAGCTCCCCAGAGACGGGTGTGTGGAGCTGGCGAGGTGGAGGCTGTTGGTGGATTTCCCACATACTTGGGGACAGAGTTGTTCTGCGGATTCACAGTAACTTAGGTAGAAGGGGCTTAATGTTTGGTGGAAGCTTAATGAATGGTAGCCATCATGAGAATTTGTTGCTGCTGCTGCTGTTATATTGTCAGTGCAGATTGAGGATTCCAGGAGCAGTTTGGAAAGTGTTTCCTTTGTGAAAGGCAGTGAGGTGACACAGATCTTTGTGGGGAACGTTATAGGATGTTTAGTGTTTTAGTTGACTTAGGCTGCATAACAAAAATACCGTATATGGAGTGGGACTAAACAACAGAAATGTATTTTCTCAGTTCTGGAAGCTGGAATTCTGAGATCCAGGTGCCAACAGGTGGGTTCTAATGGGAGTAGCTTGCAGATGGCTCTTTTCTTGCTGTGTCTTCATGATACAGAATGTGTTTGTGTAAGAGAGAGAGCTCTAGTATTTCTTCTTACAGGGGCCCTAATCCTAAGAGCATCACTTTCATGACCCCATGTGAACCTAATGACCACCTGAGGGCCTCATCTCCAAATACCATCATACTGGGGTTTAGGGCATCAATATGAGTTCAGGAATGACAGAATGACACTTTGGTTCCTAACATGTAAAAATTCTAGCCTGTGGTGCTCGGTGTGAGTAGCAGCATGCAGTCACCATGACAGTGGAAATGCCACCCCCTTCACCAGCTTCTTAGCCACACACCCAGATTGGCATTCCTGTGTGTAGTCAAAGTGAGTCATGTGTCTTAACGCTGAAAAGAATACTAGGGACCATGCCTTCAGAAGGGAAAAGAGAACAAGAAGGCAGCGTAACAAAGGCAGTGGTTTCTGTTCAGTATTCAGCCAGTACCTAGCTTTGCTTCATAGAATTTGTAAGAAGTGAATCGCCCACTCTCCCTCCCTGTAAGAAGTTTATAATTTAGTTGGAGGTGTTAAAAACAACAATGCAGACCAATGTAAGAGTGAATTACAGCGTACACGTCTTATGGGCTTAGGCATTCAGAGAGCACTGATCAGAACTAGCTGATGGACCTCTTTGGTGGCCCGTTGGTGGGACTCCACCTGCCACTGCCGGGGAACGGGCTCAGCCCCTGGCCCAGGAAGATTCTACAGGCCCTGGGACCACAGGGCCTGTGTACCACAAGCACTGACCCCACATGCTGCAGCTGCTGAAGCCCTGCCTGCTCTGGAGCCCGGGCTCTGCCGCAGGAGGAGCCTCTGCAATAAGAAGCCCATGCACCCCCTGCTCACCGCAGCTGGAGAACGCCCACCCAGAGCAGCAGAGATCCAATGCAGCCAAAAATAATAAAATAAAGGAAGCCAGCCTTATTAAACAAGCAGACTAGCTGCTACACTTCCAAGGAGCCTCGTAGACAAGTTAAAAAAAATGGAGTTGCTTTTTGAACAATGAGCACTAGTAGGTGAAGAAGAGAGACAAGATCTGACCAGATGTGCTGAAGCAACGCGGTATTAAACAGTGCCAGTTTTGATGTACTTCCCTATCTGGTTTTAGTCTAGAAAGTTGAAAACAAAGCCTCATTTACAGGGGATGCATGCATGCTGCCTGCTTCAGTCGTGTCCAACTCCTTGCAACCCTATGGACCATAGCGCGCCAGTCTTCTCTGTCCATGGGATTTTCCAGGCAAGAATGCTGGACTGGGTAGCTCTGCCCTCCTTCAGGGGGTCTTCCTGACCCAGGGATCGAACCTGCATCTCTTACGCCTCCTGCATTGGCAGGCAGGTTCTTTACCACTAGCACCACCTGAAAAGCCCTTACAGGGGATATTTTTGATTAAATAGATTGTTTTGAAATTCATTGAAGATAAGAATTAGTACTAAAGATGAATGTATCCACTAAGAAATAAATATTAATAAATATGAGCATATATACACACACATTAAAGGGAAGAAAAATCCACACCAGGAAATGACATGGAGCAGAGGGCAAAGGTAGCATGCCCATGGCCTGGGTGAGGGTGGGCACAGGGATGCTGAGAAAGGGGTGTGAGCAGAGGTCCGCATCTGTCCTGGAGAAAGTCTGCTCGCAGCCCCAGCGCTGAGCTGAGGGGCTCCCAGGGCTCTCCTGGGGCCCTGTGCTCCGGGCACACGGCGCTGTTTCTTGTCTGTCCTGCTCGCTGGATTGTGTCTCAGTTCCATTGTGTGTGCAGCGTCTAGCATAGGGTAAGGGTTTATTAAAGATACATTGAGTGAGTAATTGTGTGCATTATGAGATTTTTAATTGGGACGATCATGGGAAAGAAAGTTTGATCATTAGAGAAAGATTGCCTTCTGATTTGTTTCCTTGAATGGATTCCTTAAGTCTAATAATATTTATTCCTACAAAGATAGTTATTCTGGAATTTAGGAAAAGGAAATGATGAAGAGGTAGGCTCTGAAGTGGTGGTATAACCCAAGGGAGATTAGTCCAGCATTGTTTTTTTGTGTGTACACTCAGTCCAAGAAAGATCACAGAAGTGGAAAGGTTTGAAAAGAAAGAATCTTGAAAGATTGAAGAGAGGAGACTGGCTGAGTAGCTAGAGAAAAACCCGTTTTAAATACTTGGCAGGAAAATTTGGTAAACACTTTGTTTTCCAGGTTATTTTTTACTTTCCTTGTAGAAAGCATTCTTTGAAATTAATGCAAATACTTAATTCCCTGATTTTTTAATGTATGCTGATCTTTTGTGCCTGTGTAGCTCCTATATTAATGTATTATTTGAGGTAGAATAAAAAAGCACACGGCAATGACACACCTGTTCAGTGACATTGCTCTGAAGCTCAAGTTTCTGATCTGAAGGAAACTCTTGTATCCTGTCCCTGTATCCTTGTGATTATTTTTTTTTGACCACCATAGGTGCTTACTTATTTTGATTTGCTTTGGTTTTCAGTCAATCTTGATTCCATTTTTATGTTCCATTTTTTTGAATCATGAAAATTAGAAGAAATTTGCTGATTATAAAAAGGAGCTTTGGGTCACTTAAGGAAAAGCTATTTTCGTAAACAGGCAAATGACATATTTTTCTTTTCGCAATTTTCAGGCGCTGCTTTGAATTTTTAGATCTACTTTTACAAGAGTGGCAGACACATTCACTGGAGCGGTAAGCATCTGGTTTGCTGGTTCTCTCTCTGAATTGAATCTTTTTTTTTTTTTTTTTTTA